TATCATATCAATCCAGTTTTTTATGTTTTACCTTGTGTAATGAAAGGTATCTGCTCTGGTCACTGGAGAGTTCTATACAAGGAATCACTTCCCAGGATTTGGACGCCCTTTTGTGTTCAATGCTGAGGTTTTACTGAAGTTCGTGGAAGACTTAAACTTTTATAATCTAGAAATTATTCAAATTACTCATTAACACTATTCTCAAAATAAAAAATACTAATAATATATGTCATTCGTCTAGGGTTGGACGTAATTTGGAAGCCAAAGACGCTGCTCGGGGTGCATTGAAATCACCATGGTGGACTTTGGGATGTAGATATCATGTATGAAAGCATATTATAGTCTTTTAGTTCTTCACAACATTTTTTTTCAATTGCTTATGAGTTGTTGGTTAATGATTTAGGAAGTTGCTGAGATTGCAGAGTGGGATGATGAGCAAATTGAGTACATAAAGGAGAAAGTGAGTGATGAGGTAAAGCTTGAAGATTTGAAGAAGGGGAAAGCACCAGAACAGGTAGATCATTGCCATGTTTATTGCAAATGTAGTGTGACATAAATCTTTGTGAAATATCACTAGGGGTGCGAACATGTATGGATATGGCATTTATTGTATCCATATCTGCTTGCGAGTCATTGAAGTTGATACAAATGTGGATATGGTTCAATAAGAAACTTATCCATACCCCACAAAAAAATCGAATGTTGAGGCCTATCAAATATAAAAGAAACGAATAAAACTCTGAACTGTATATCTCTGTATCATTGTATGATATGAGAGTGGTTTGAATCAAATACAATTTCCCAAATCATAGTCCATGAATGCCCTAGCAAAGACTTACGAACTAAACTTTAGATTTATAGATCTTGAAAATTGATTTTTAATTTTGAAGTCAAGCAATTCTAATGGTCTAGTCAATGCAGATATCCTGATATATGGATCGAGATACTCTACCTCTCAATATCCCTATCATTATATGAGAAATTAACGCAATATTCGTAACTGTATCCATATCCGACATTTTTGTTGATATCGGGTCTTGAATCCCTCAATATAACTGATGTGGTAACGCAGGTGGCCCTTGACGAGGCTGCTTTTTTGCTGGACTTGGCCTCGGTTGAAGGGACTTGGGATGAGGTCATTGATCGTGTTGCTGCATGTTATGTTGAAGCTGGACTACACGAAGTTGCGAAGTTTGTATTGTACAGAGAGTGAATTTTTGGATGGTAGACATATAGGTACCTGATCAACAGTTTCTTTCACATTTTCATCCGAGGTCTTTTGGCTTATATCATTGCCTTTCTCATTTTCGATATCTTAGACTTGTCGGTTTCCAACGCTATTTGCATATGAGAGTTACCATTGTATTTTTGTAATATGCTCGTATCACCTCAAAGGTGAGTTACCTTCCACCATGTACTGTGGATTATAAGGGGAAACCAGTCATAAAAATTTATATTGGGAGGTAAAATGTTATTTTGATGAAAATTTTGCCTTCTATTGCTTTCCTCCTGTGTTGTGGGTTTGGCAAGAAAGCAAGATATCATGCGTACTTCACATTTCTGTTTTCTTCTTTCTTTCATTCACATATTGAATGTTCATTTAAGTGGTGTTTGGTTGCATAATTTTATAGAAAAGTTTTCTTAAAATGTCTGGCAATGGTAATTCTGTAATTAAAAATTTTCTGTAGAAGTAAACCATGTTTGGTCCAAAAAAATATACAGAAACGTTTTCTGTAAAGTATAAAAAAATACCAAAATTTGCAGAAATCAATTTCCTCTCAAAATGGGCGGGAAACCACCCAAAAATCTAACACCACATTGACATTTTTCTATAAAGTTGACATTTTTCTATAAATTTAGAGGTGTTTGATTCAATTTCTATAAATTATAGAAAATCTTGCTATTTTCTATAAAGTTATGACCCGTTTTCTTGTTATGAACCAAACAAGTAGAGTAATTTTTTTTTAAGAAATACAAGAAAATCATATTTTGGGTCAGCCCCTAAGATTAAGGAGTATTACAGTATCTTTGCTATCGTACTCCATTTTTATTTATTTCTTTCCCTCTCTACCAGGATGCACGCAACAAAATTAACCTCCGAGTCATCATTTCGATTTTTGCAATTATATTTTAGATAATGTATTTTGAATGCAAACTCATTGTTTGGTTGAAAAACAATTTTAGAGTAAAAGCTACATACTATTGACATATATAAGAAAGCTATAAGACCTTTTTCATCTAGCACCAGATCAAAGGATTAGCAGCGACAACAAAAACATAGAAATTGGGATAAAGTATAAAAAAAGAACAACATTGTTTTTAAGCAAAATTATACGGAGTATAATCTTATAAGCATCAACTTGATGCAATTAGACCGCTTAAACAACTCTAAAACCCCCCTACATAATTCAACCGAAAAACACAAAATCGCTCCGACGTCACTCAACGATACGACTTCTGGAACCTCGCGCGTGCGCCGCGCCCCCCGAACTTCTTGGGCCCGAACTTTTGGGCTCGCACCTCCTCGGATCCGCAACGAGCAGAGACCGATCGTAGCAATTAACCCTTTATATGAATTAGAGGGGATCTATTTGCAATTGGGTGGCGCTGTAGGGGGCTATTAGCAATTAACCCTTTACATGAATGGTTTTAAATTTAGAATTCTTTTTTGTTTGAAGGAGTGTACTTTTGGAAGAGCTGTTTTCCAAACGCACAAGAGCTGATGCACATTCTGAAAAATCTGCTATCCATCAACATTACAGAAAATAATTTGGAAAAGCTTCTTTCTTAGAAATTTGATTTTCTTCTCTCTAGGAAAACAACCAAACAGAAAAAAATTAAAATAATAAAAGTGTGAGTTTAGGGGTATTCACATATATACCCGCATCGGTATCCATTAGATTATGAATATGGTTACTAAAATCAGTAACTAAAAAGATACTGTTATGTGGTGAAATATTTGGATCCGTATCCGAAATATTAAAATATATGTTGATCATACATGTTGCAATTATTTTAATTCTTTAGATTAATGGATTTAAAATTTATTTTGATGATCAAAAGATATAATCTTAGATTTTTTTTGATATAACAAACATATTAATGAAGTCTCATGTATCATACAAACTAGTTTTTTATTGATATTATTTGGTTTTCTCACATCGGTTTTGTGCGTGCATATCCGCACATATATTTGCATGTACATCTATAGCAGTATCTGGTTTTAACGGATGTAGATATGAGTTTTTCTTACCAAAAACATACTCGTATTTGTGTCGATATGTGTCATTGGTAAATGAATATGAATGTGATAAGTATCATATTCTACCTGTAATCCATGATGATTGACCAAATTAAAGACAATTTATACCTCGTCGTGATTTCACAAAATCTTAAAACAACAAACTCTGCTACCAGAAACATATTATAGTCCATTCAAATTTCTCAAACATCAGAGAGATTATACTTTTATAGTAGCACTACTAAGAAGAGAGTTGATGGCTGATATCAAAACAGCCAATGAGAAAAGTAATCTGGTTGACGGAGGTCTTCTAACCCTCCGAATGTTCGGTCCTGAGGTGCGCTGTTCTTCACTGCACATATATCAAATCGTAAGATGGCGTAGTTGGGTTCTCCAGTTGTTCCTCCAATGAACAAGTCAGTAATTTGCTTGAGTGGAGAAGTAATTGAATTGTAGAAGTTCTTAAGCATAGTGGGTAGAGATAAAAATCTTACTTTATTATTAAAAATAATATCCCTATTTATAATGTGAAATGACTGGGGGCGTGCGGTGCCGACGTGGTCCGATGTGTCATAAAGACTATTGAGGACGAATAAATGATGGCCTCAGTCATGCATTTAATGGCATTTATTGTAAGGTGATTGGTCATCAACTCGAGTCTCGAGGTAGTCGTTGCATTTCTGCTCGTCTGGTAGAAGGTCAAGAAATACCTCCTTTTGAGTCACCCTCACGAGATGTCGGTCGAGTAGGTTGGTCAAAAAATCAACCTAGCCACATGTCGACATGTAACACCTTTTGAGTCGCCCTCGCGAGATGTCGGCGTGTCGATCGAGTCGTCCGAGCTGGGTCTTTGATCATCTTGAAGTGAAGAGCTTGCTCGGTTACGCATAATGTGAGACATTTGTCTGCTATTGATTGGAGATTCCTTTTTAGCACTGAAACGACTATAACAAAGGGGTGTCAAAAAAATACCTATATTCACATATATACCCACATCAATATCCATTAGAATATGAATATGGTTACTAAAATCTGTAACTGAAAGAATATGGTTATACAATGAAATATTTGGATCCGTATCCAAAATATTAAAAATATATGTTGATCATACATGTTGCAATTATTTTAATTCTTTAGATTAATGGATTTGAAACTTATTTTGATGATCAAAAGATATAATCTTAGATTTTTTAGATATAACAAACATATTAAGAAGTCTCATGTACCATAGAAACTATATTTTGTTTGATATTATTTGGTTTTCTCACATCAGTTTCGTATGTGCATGCATATCCACACATATATTTACATGTATATCCATAACTGTATCCAGTTTAACGGACATAGATATAAGTTTTTCTTACCAGGACATACTCGTATCTCTCTCGATACGTGTGATTGATAAAATGATAATGAATGTGATAATTATAGTATTCCACCTGGAGTAGCACTAGGGGCACACCATTAACCACAACTCCAATCACATCATCCCTCTCATTGCTGTAGTGCACCGGGCTCCACATAAGATTTTAAATTTAAAATCTGATGTGGAGCCCGGTGCACAACAGCAATGAGAGGGATGATAAGATTAGAGTTGTGGTTAATGGTGTGCCCCTATCATTTTGCTTCTATCTTTATCCGGTCCGTTAACACCTCTACTAAAAGTAATCAAAATCACCAGTAGTAGTTTGCAGGTAGTCTATCTTTTCCCCCCGTATGTTTTTGGGCCAGCATTAAAAACCCACTGTTAAATTTCAGCATTAGCAAGAAAAAAAAAATCCTCAGAACTCTCTCCTTCTCTCTCTCTCTCTCTCTCTCTCTCTCTCTCTCTCCATCCATTAATTCTTTCCCTTTCCCGTTAGAACCATCAGTAAAGTCGCTGCCTTTGTTGGCGATTTCACTTCTATGAGGGAAGGGAAGCGGAAACCAACGAGCTGCTGATATCTTGTTTTCATCTCGATCTTCTAATTCCAGTATCTGATTTTGCTCCAAGGTACCAATTTCTTCGTTTCCCTTTTCATTTTTCACTGCGATTATTGGCAATTTTCGATGTTTTATTGACCCAAGCTGAATGATATGCGGATGTTTGTGATTTTTGTGGTTTTTGGAATACGGGTCTGTTCAATTTTCCCTTTTCCATCACTGTCATCATAAAGGTTGGATCTTGATTAGTTTTCAGCTTGTTTCGATCATCTACCAAATCGAATTGGAATGCAAAATTATTAACTTTCACACTGATCTAAGGTGACAATTGCCTGCGGTGAGGCGATTAAAGTGATAAAAAGTGCATAAACATTTTAGGTGCAAGTAATGATATCACAGCATGATCTTAGTAGTTTTGTTAATCTGCAGTATTGTTCTTTCAAGAAAGGATAAATGTCTGAAGGGAGTAGAGATGATGCTGATTCGAGTACTTGGAATGCAGACGAGCCTAGCTTGAGCTTTTCATTAGATGAGATCACTGATGAAGGAACCGACATGGAGCATAACTGGGCGTCTCCTGTGAGAATAAATAGGAGTCAGGGAGCAAGAACGGATGAAACCCAAATCCGGTCGGCCAATGCACTTCCCGTTGAAAATCCGAGGTTTAATCTAAACAACACTCCCGTAGACGACGGCCAGTCATCTTATCAAGATCCAAGTTCCCTTCGAAACCCAGACCAGTATTCTTTAAATATAAATAACAATACGGTTGATGGTCGGCATTTGTCTTGCAAGAGGAAGAGCATTGAAGGGCAGAGTAGCCATTACCGAGGAGAGAGTAGTTCAGTTCAATCTGCTTCTGCTCATCAGAGTGCTAACACTACTTTAAGTATATCAACCGCATCTAATCATCCATCAGGGTTTAGTCTTAGCACAGAAGACTTGCAGAGAAATTGTCGGACCAGAAACAACCCTGAACATCAAGGAAGTATTCTTAGGGCTTCTGATCCATTTGTCTCATTTAATCAATTCCTGGAGTCTACAATAGCAGGCGATAGTGGAACTCGAGACAGTCAGTCTCCTATACTACAATTTCCTGCCTTGGTTCAAAATACCCGTCCCTTCCCTGTGGATATAGCTTCCAGTTCAAGAACAGGCAGTTCTTCAACATCTCTAGCCATCACAGGGCAAAGGTCTAATGTTTTAAGAGAAGAAGCCAACTCAAGGAGCTTTACGAGTAACTATAATGTTTCCCAGCACACTTCGGGTCCTTCAAATACCTTGCTGGAGCTGAGAAGGCAAAGAATAGCTGCTCTTCGCCTCCAGCTATCTCACATTCGGTCTGCAACTGGTGTTCTTGATGATCTCTCAGTGGCTGCAAGAGAAAGCAGGCGCAGGATGTTATCAGAGGTTTGTGTCATATGTTTTCGTATTGATTCTCTTGATATTAACTCTTTTCTGAATATATTGTTTGTGATTGGATGATTTGTTGGAATCATGACATACAACGCAGCGGAAAAAGCATATCATGACTATTAATCAAAAGTAATTAAATATTAGAAGAATACCTGAAACGCTTTCCGAATTTCTACAATAACCTGTCCCGAGATCAATCCGAAATAGCTTCCTCAAGAGAAAAAGCCTCCAATTGAAATCCACCCGTCACCGTAGAGGAGCAATACTGAGAGATAGGTTCTCAAAAATCTATTTCTTCATATTATCTTCATAAGATTTTCAATCTCTTCTCTTTTCTTTCATAAGGCTACATATGAACCCTATTTATAGGATTACACTAGTCTTAGAGATTTTAACTTTAAACAATTCATAATTATCTAGAACTCTATCCATAACAATTAAGGATAGAATAGATTTGTTCAAAAACTTTATCCATAACAATTAAGGATAGAAATAGATTTATTCAAAAACTTTATCCATAACAATTAAGGATAGAAATAGAATTGCATTGCATGTATACCTCTTCTAATGACATTAGTGAGACCAATTGGGTCCCATATCGAGAACCAATTATTAATCAAATTAATAATTTTAATTTAACAATCAAATCCCTATCCGACCAATTGTTCATAAAAGCTCTTCCATAATATGGGATTAATTATTAATAAATAATATCTTACATTCACTCCCTTCCAGTATCATTTATTTTAGGCAACTCTTTTAAGCAGGACAACTCACCTATTTGCTCATGCCAAAAATTTGGCAATTCCCATGAACATAAATAAAAATCATTTTGAAACGTCAAAATATTTTATTTTTATAGGAAAGTAAATTTTTAAAAATATTTTTAAAACCACCTGCCGGCAGGAATTTAATAGCTTCATGGGAATGCATAATAAATTAACTCATCATAATGAGCATACTGGATCCTATCTAGACATCAATTATTTTCCTAAATAAAATTTAGCAACCCAATGTTTCAGGTTGTGTAGCGCTTACTAAACAAGCTTAACCATTACATCAAAGCATACTAAATTATCAAATCGAAAATAACAATATCATCAAGTCAAAGGGACCATGTAACAATTTGAACTCTCTATCTCTTAGGTGACTCATCCTAGAGAATTCAAATACGGTCTAGTGCTACACACATCATAATGTGTGCTTATGACATACACCCGGAGAATCTCCATTCCCGATGGTTGAGATCCACCACCATATCTCATATATCGGTGTCATGCATAATAACCTGTTATAACAAAGTTATCCTTTACTAGTTATAGGTTAAGCACAAATTTAAGAAATTTCTAAGTTAGATCATATCTCCAAGCAAGTGACCATCACAGTGCATGATCTAACAAAATAACTTCTAAGGATATATATAACAATTATATAAATAATACCCAAATTATGTGCAACAATTAAATTTATTAATATTACAATATTATTACATAATTTGTATTGGATGTTCAAGGGCAAATTATTATTACTATTCCAGCATGATTACCCACTCGTTTTATTATAAAAATAGTCAACATCTATATCAATTCGTAGAACATCACACATATTGGCAAAGTTTCCTTGTATTTATACTAATATTACACGTATTGGTTAAGTTCATTGTCCTCTTCATGCTTGACATTGAACCTGAGTGCGTATTTTATACTGCACCTGGATGTGTCATGTGTAGGAGCATATCTTTTGACTCCACAGGATCATGCAAACAAATGATTCAACATGCTTATCAATTTTAATTCATCTCTTCAATTTTATGATGTTTCTTTTGGTTTTTTTATCCCACCAATTTTAGTTTAGTGGAAGCTTATAAACTGTTTTTGTGCATAGTATTAAATATGTATGTTCTTTCTTCTTATACATCATCAAACTGTCGTGCATTTTATACGGTCAATGTGCTTCATTCTTAACTTCTCATTAGTGGAAGGCCTAAAAAATCATATTGATAGTTCTAGTTCTTGCTACATTGCATGTGCATTTCCAGTTTGTCTTAAACAATATTATGGATCTAATAGTTCCGTATTTCACATCTCTTGTTGTAACAGGTACGTGATGTGCTTTCACGAAGAGGGGAAGATTTGCACATAGAGGTCAATTTTCTACCTAGGTCTTATGTCTTACTGTTATGTATCAATGTTCAGATCTGATTATAAATGAATGTGTGCCTTCCCAGTAGTTCTATTTTTCTGGGAGTCTATCATACACTCTCGTATGGAGCTTTTCCATGGACAGTATTATGATCGACCATGGCATTTCACATCGAAATTGACCCCCTTAGTGGTTTTGTATGGTCATCGTCCCTTTGCGTAGTAGAAACTAACATAAAATTTTCAAACAGGCTGTACAAAGAGTGTTATTATATGACAGGCATAGAGATATGAGGCTTGATGTTGATAATATGTCTTATGAGGTAAGTCATAAGGGAAAGTTATGTTGCTCGCCGATCAATTTCTTCATATTTGTAAACTACTTTTAACACTGACATTAATTAACTTTTCACAGGAGCTACTTGCATTGACAGAGAGAATAGGGAATGTGAGCACTGGAATTAGTGAAGAAACTATTGTGAAGTGCCTGAAGCAGAGGAAATATATTTCCCTTACCGAGGAAACCCCTAGTGATGTTGAACCGTGCTGCATTTGTCAGGTATAAGCCTATTTGATCTCTTAGCAGTTTTTCTTCGCCTAACTTTTGGAAGTTTGTATTGTACAATAGTAATGCAGACATTTGCTATTACCTTACTTTTGATAAGCTAACATTTGCTATTTTGGTAAAGAGTAATAATACTAATTGTTCTATGCTTTTGGTACTACTTTGATACTATTTAGAATGGGAAGATGAAACTCCTTGCCTCATCATTGATTTCAAGATTAAGTAGAAATTAATTGAGGAGATATAGGCAAATTCCAAGCATAACTTGAGATGTGGAAAATATGAGAACCTTCATTTACTTTTCTCTATCAACATCATTTTATTACAAGCAAATTCGATTTATGTTTGTTTCTTTATACATGTATACAACGTTTGTCTGTTTGAGTCACCTACACCTTATAAATTCCGGTAAAAATCATGAACTTTCAAAATTATACAGACCCCTCTGAACTATTGGAATTGTCATAAATGGTGTTACTTTGAAGGGTGAAAGACCTAGCTACCCTTATATATATCTATCAACCTAACCCGAAAAAACTAGGCAAGAGTAAAAACTATACAAGGCCAAAATTATCTAAAACATGTCTCATGCAAAACATATGACAACTAAAACTAATTTCCGTTGGTAGCGAAAGAAGCTTAGTGTTTCTCTAATTTATAAAGTTTTGGGGGTGTTTTGTGCAATAACATCCCCAAAGTTCTGGGGGGGGGGGGGGTTCTGTAAAATTTAGCCTTGTTAATACTTTACGGTGCATATACTTTTAAATCAGCATCTCTTTTGACGAAATTTCCTCCGTTTTCTGACAGGAAGAGTATGTCGAAGAGGACGAGGTCGGAAGACTGGACTGTGGGCATGATTTCCACACCGATTGCATAAAACAATGGCTGATGATGAAGAACTTGTGTCCTATTTGCAAAACTACAGGCATTGCAAACATCAAATGAGAGATGAATATATGCACATTGCCCCCTTCTAAAATCTTAATATTGGAAAAAAACGGGGAAGGTTTGTAACTTCAATGACTTTCTCTACTCCCGTAGGTTATGTAGAAGTAAATACATTGGTCCGATAGTACCTTTTTGTTTTATTTTATTTGAATATTTATTGTTGTTTTTAATTGTCATATTGTAACATTATTCATGTTTTAAGGATATTCGTTTTGCTGTTTCGCGTTTCAATTATCATACGGTGATGGTTCAATGACTTTTTGTTCACGAATATAAATATGTAAAATAAAAATAAAAACTGTAGCATATAACTAGCCCACCGACCCATTTATGACCGTGCCTGTGGCATCTTCATCCATTGCCATAGCATCATTCATCATCTCAACCTGCGAAAAAAAATCCAATATCTCACAAGTTTAACTTTTTGAAATTCTGAAGGCGGGGAAATTAAAAATAAAAAATAAAATAAAAAACATTTTGTAAAAGATTATAAAATATAACCCCTGGGGAATTCCCTTCTTCTGCGCCCTCAGTACCGTCTGCTTCGATAATGTCAGCAACTTCTAGCATCCGTTGCAATAAAAACATTAACATAAACATATTAGAGATCTTTATGAAATAATTTTGTAACTGTACATATTTGGGAAAAAAAATCAACTAATCATGTTCATTAGCACTAGGAAACTAATAAGCGTACACACTCAGTTCAATCTAAGCACAGGTGATAATTGTGTATTTATCGTATTCGCAAAGTATACTAGCATTAATTAGAAAAGTATGAATGCTAGAAAATCATATACATTTGAATTGGAAACTGATACCTCAAGAAAGAAGAATGGAGGATGAATCAAGACTCGCAGAATTTGAATTTTTATCCAAATTAAACAAAATTCAACCCCAAAAGAAAAGAATTTTGAGCACGTTAATGCATATTCATTTTTGTTTCAGTATAGGCTCATATACGCATTTATGCATTATATCTTTTATAGTTTCCTCAACCAAATCGAGTTTTCATTTTGATGCGGCAAACACGAGTTTATAGTAGAAGAATGGATTTTTTTCCATTTCCTAATTTTTAGCTCCTTTCGATAAATAATCATAATTCCAATTTTATTGGCCACAACATATAATTTTTATGTCTCCATCTACTGTTAGAATTAATATAAGAATTTCAAATATTTACACAACCATCAAATAATACTTTCTGCTTCTAATATTACTACAAGTACATGCTTAATCATATACATAGTAAATAAGAAATATGTCACTATAAACTTAAAAGTATATATGGCATCGTTATTTTGATCCAATCTGTACGAGGACAAACTCAGCTAGTAGGCCGATTTGTTAATTTCAAACTTTTCTAATTTCAATTTATCTATAATTTATGATGCATCGATTTCAAGCGACAAATAAAAATTAAGGGTTTCGTATGACTTCGATATAAATTGACATTCATATACCGTATAATAACTCCCCGTAATCTCTGAGCAAGAGAGTTAGATGAGTCTTAGACGTAGATTTAAGAAATCAGAGCGATTTGAAGTTTATGATGTAAGATATTAATTTAATTTTCTATTTATTCTTTGTGCCAACATTGCGGAACGTCAAAAAATACAAACTGTATCCCTTCTAATTGAATTATGTGAATCAGAACGCCACTCAAAGAAAAATTCGGCTATGGCATCCAATCCTCCAATAAAGGTACTAATGACTTCTTATTTGTACTAATGACTTCTTATTTGCACTAACGAGCTTGATAATCCATCCAATCCTCCAATGAAGTTACTAACGAGCTTGATATTCTTGTAATTTACAATATCACTCAACAAGCAAATTAGTACTAATAATGGTGGTTGTAAATCATCATCAAAATATAAAGGCTGACAGCTTGTAACTGTCGCGCGCCTTTGCGGAAGCCTTGCACGAACTCACAACGAACCTGTGATCACGAGTAGAAGAAAGACAAACTCTTGCACAAATCCAACCAATAAAGCCAAATCAATCCAAACACAGAGATATACGTGGTTCGGCAATTTGCCTACGTCCACGGGGAGAGGATGGGGAGATTTCACTAAATCAAGGAGAGTACAAAGGGTTACAATCACACAAATTCTCTCAAACTAACCCTCAACCAAAGATCTCACCTTGCTCACAATATCTCCCTCTCACAATGCTCAAAAGATTCCTCAATCTCTGATATTTTAACCTCACAAATCGTTTCCCTATTTATACCAAAACAAAACCCCAATCAGACTGCAAATAGGAAACCTACGTATGCAAAAAACCCGTCGTAAGTCGACTTAACAGAGCTCACAAGTCGACTTGACAGAGAGAAAATCAACAACTGGAGAACACTTCATAAGTCGACTTAACAGACTGTTAAGTCGACTTGCCATAAGTCGACTTAACAGTCATGCTAAGTCCGGCGCACGGGTCAAAGTGAACACATACCCCGTAGTAGACCGGCGCTTATCCAAATCCCCGGCATAATCCGAATCAACATAGCCAATGCATAGCTGCCCACCTGTAGTGTCCCGCTCATAAACCAAACCAACATTGAGCGTACCTCTAATGTACCTCAAAATCCATCTCACGGCGTCCCAATGACCCACTCCTGGATCGTGCATGTATCTCGACACCATGCTCACTGCCTGTGACAAATCCGGCCTCGTACATACCATCGCGTACATCAAGCTCCCAACTGCGCTCGCATATGGAGTCTTCGTCATCAACTCACGGTCTTCAACTGACTTCGGTGAAAGGCCAGCTGAAAGCTTCAAATGGGCTCCCAACGGTACACAAACTGGCTTCGTATCCATGCTAACATGGAATCGCTGTAGAACCTTCTTCAAATAAGCCACCTGTGTCAAACAAATCCTGCCCTTCTTCTTATCTCTGCCGATCTCCATCCCTAAAATGCGCTTCGCCTCGCCCAAGTCCTTCATCTCAAACTCATTCGAAAGCTGAACTTTCAACTCATCTATAGCTGACCTGGAACTAGAAGCAACCAACATGTCATCGACATAAAGCAACAAATAAATGTACGCACCTCCTCTCAACTTGCGAAAATACACGCAAGGATCAAACTGGCTCCGAGTGTACGAATGACCAAGCATAAAACCATCAAATCGCCTATACCACTGTCGAGGAGACTGCTTCAAACCGTATAGCGATTTCTTTAGCCTGCAAACCAACTTATCTTTCCCTGCAGCTCGGAATCCCAATGGCTGAGTCATATATATTTCTTCATCAAGATCACCATGAAGAAATGCTGTCTTCACATCCAACTGATCTAACTCCAATCCATACTGTGCCACCAAAGCTAGCAAAATCCGAATCGACGAATGCTTCACCACCGGAGAGAAAACCTCATTGTAATCAATACCTTCCTCCTGTGCATAGCCCTTCGCAACCAACCTAGCCTTGAACCTCACTGGAGTGCCCTCAATGCCCTCCTTCTTCGTGTACACCCACTTGCACCCAATCGCCTTCCGCCCCTTTGGAAGCTCTACAAGCTCCCATGTATCGTTCTTGTGAAGAGACTCCATCTCCTCCTGCATAGCCACCTGCCACGAATCAGCCTCCGAACTCTGCTCGGCCTCTCTGAATGTAGTAGGCACCATCTCATCGATACTCTCCACCGGAAGTGCATATGCAACTGTGTCGGCATACCGTGCTGGCACCCGTATGTCTCTCCTCTGTCTCCGTGCCGCAATAGAATCCTGAACCTGAGCCGTCGGTCCCTGATCCTGCTCATGAGTACCCGTATCCTCCGCATCACCGTCGTGCTCGCCTGGCGTCACCTCAGTCGGCACTCTCATGGATACTGCACTATCTGGACTCTGTGGAGCTGCATCAATCTCCACCACCTGCGAAATCTCCTCTGTCGGGTTGCTCTCCACCTGATGAGAGCTGGGAAGCTTCAAGATAGAAGCCTCATCGAATGTGACGTCCCTACTCAGCACAATCTTCTTATCAACTGGATCCCAAAGCTTGTATCCCTTGACACCACGCTTGAATCCTACAAATATGGCCTTCCTAGCTCGAGGTTCCAACTTATCAGTTCTAACATGATAATATGCAGGGCAACCAAATACCTTAAGCTGGTCATAGTCATGTGCTGTCTCTCCCGACCACATCTCCATAGGGGTCTTCCCCTCAATCGCAGATGAAGGCAGCCTGTTAATGAGGTGGCTCGCATAAGAAAGTGCCTCAGCCCAAAAGATCTTCTCCAAACCACTATGCGCCAATAAACATCGAATCTTCTCCAGCAAAGACCGATTCAATCTCTCTGCCACCCCATTCTGCTGCGGTGTATGACTAACTGTGAAGTGCCTCTCTATGCCCTCGTCTCGACATAGCTGCAGAAAGGGGTCTGAGGTATACTCGCCGCCGTTGTCGGATCGCAACGTCTTGATCTTTCTCCCAGTCTGCAGTTCCAATCTCTTCTTCCACTCCACAAACAAATCTAGGACTTCACTCTTATGCTTCATGGTGTACACCCAACATCGCCTAGAATAGTCATCAACGAACGTGACGAACCAATGTCGACCACCAAGTGATGCCGTCTTAGTGGGACCCCAAACATCTGTGTGCACGTAGTCCAAGATGCCCCTCGTCCTATGAATGGCCGTCCCGAACTTCACCTTCGTCTTCTTGCCAAGTACACAGTGCTCACAGAATTCTACTTTACCACTCTTGGCTCCCTTCAAAAGCCCCTGCTTGCACAATGCCTGCAGTGACTTTTCACCTGTATGCCCTAGCCTGTAGTGCCAAAGTCTGCTCATGTCCGCCTCTGAAATCGCCGAAGCAACCTGGCCAATCTCGGTGCTCCCCTTCAGATAATATAAATTATGATTTCGGACTCCCTTCATCACCACCAAAGATCCCTTAGTAACCTTTGCTACAGCATCCTCAAAGGTCACCCTGAATCCCTTCGCCTCCAAAGCCCCCACTGAGATAAGATTCTTCTTAAGTTGAGGAACGAATCTCACCTCCTTCAGCTCACGGACTACTCCATCGTGCATCCGAATCCTCACAGTACCTATCCCACGAACGCCACAGGATTGATCATTTCCCATGACCACAACACCCCCATCGAGTCTCTCAAATGATGAGAACCAATCTCGCCTAGGAGTCACATGATAAGTAGCGCCAGAATCAAGCATCCACTCCGATGCATCCAAATGGTTCACCTCCGGAGTAATCAAAAGAGAAAAGCTCGAATCATCGGA